GGGTGGTGGGAGGGAGCCCGGACTCCAGGATCTAGGAGGAGATGCCTGGAAGCCAGAGTTTCTGGGACCTTCGAAATGTGAGTTCTGGGTCGCTATAAGGACGGGACTGGAACCCCTCAAGAGGGTCTCTAAGGGAGGAGTGGCTGGGAATACGGACCCCTGGGTTCGCCTTGTAGACGTCCCCTGCCTCCAGCCCGGAAACTGCACATTATTGGAATCCAGTCCAGGGATAAATAGCCACACCTCCCACCACCTCCAGGAAGGCAGGTCTCGCCGCAAAGACTGGGCCACCTGGAGGTGCTACAGCGGAGTTGGCCACCACCTGCTTCCTCCACGCCCCTCCAGAGCCCGTTAGGAGGAAGTGGGGGCTGGCCCCGGAGGAGGAGGGCGGAGCATAGGCTCCTGAGTTCTCCCGTGGAAAGTGGGTTAGCGCAGGGACCCCGAGGGGAGGGGTCCATCTCCACCCTCAGGGCCCCCAGCCGTCGCCTGAGGTCAGAGCTCAGGAATGCGCTACCAGACCAGACGAGGGAAAGGAAACACCCCTTCAGCTTCTCCGAGAGGCTCAGGGCTCCCCCGGCCACGCCCAGTCCTCTCCCCACCTCACTCCAAACACCACACCCTATTTCTAAACGGACTGAGAATCGCGCCTCTGAAACCCAGCCTCTGCTGTCAACACCCACGAACGCTGGACTCAGCCTTGTCCTCTCTCTGCCTTAGGACATCCGCCTCCCAGCTCCGTCCTCACTTTGGGAGGACAGCTGCTGGATCTCAGTCCCCGGCCTTTCCAGTCCAAAGTTCGGATTCTGTCCCCCGGATGGGGAGGAGGTCAGTAATTCTGAACCCCAGCCACTCTCTGTCCCAAACCGGGACTCCCAACTCCAAGCTCCTCCTCTGTTGAGGACCTCGATTCCAACCCCATTCAACCCGCACACACAGGAGTCCCCATCCCTCTGCGCCCTCAGACCCAGGAGTCCAGGCCCGCAGTCCCTCCTCCCTCAGACCCAGGAGTCCAGGCCCCCAGTCCCTCCTCCCTCAGACCCAGGAGTCCAGACCCCCAGCCCCTCCTCCCTCAGACCCAGGAGTCCAAGCCCCCAGCTCCCTCCTCCCTCAGACCCAGGGGTCCAGGCCCGCAGCCTCTCCTCCTTC